AAGGGTCCTGACCCGAAATGTCAGCTTTCCTGCTCCTCTGATGCTGGCTGGCCTGCTGTGTTCCTCCAGCTCCACACTGTGTTATCTATGATAGTACTAAAGGACTTTTAGTTACATAGTATCTTTCATGTCTCCACAACATTCCCGAGTGTTTTATAGCCAACGTAATTTTTAAGTTTACTCTGTTGTAATGTAGGAGGATTTCAACTGTGCACTAGGTACGGCTGTGTCATAAATACATTCTTTGGAAATGGATTGACAGTTTTGATACATTTGGTGTTCAAGGTATCTCCTTCCATGCACTAATGAACCCGGATTGTACCTGAACTGTGAGTGTTTGCTGCTGACAATGGAGGATAATGTAAGAAATAGTCAATTTGTTATCAGTGATGTTCATCAGCTTGAGCACAGAAGAAGAACCAAATCCCCAGAATACTTTTAATTTGCACTGATTAAACTCAACTGAAAAGTTCCATTACAAAAGACTACACACTGCAGATAATAAATGCTATAAATGGAGCATGGTTTCACAGTGCTTCCATGAGTTCTATTCATTTGAATTATCTCATCGTCTTAAGTGTTGCATTACAGAAATATTTCAGGACCTTTTCAGCAAACCACTGCTTGTGAACAGCTTTAAAGGACCATTCTGCTGCGTGCTAGCTGTCAGCATCCAACAACGATTTTAGCCGGTGGCAGGAGAAAATCAGTAAAGCTTAATTTAATTATCACATTTGATTAGTTATATTTTTTATATCCATCAATTAGTTTCAAGAATAGAAGGTTTCATTAAGCAATTATTTCTTTATTGGTTAAGCATCATTAACCTGAAATTGAATAACTGAGTTGAGGTGTCTCTGTAGTAGCTAACTTATCAGAAACTGCAACTTGACAGACATAACAATGAAGTCAATACATGTGGTATAAATAATCCTGTCACGCACATCACCTTATCAGGCTGTTTGCACTATTGCTCATTATGGTTTGCTGCCACCATCGTCTTGTTGAGTAGGGATATATAGGAGCATGTTTGGGAAACCACTTGCTACTAATGAGAAGAGGCTGTTGTCCTCGATGAGATGTGTATAGTTTCTAGCATGCGATAAACTGCAAGTCACACTGAAGTGTTGGACATTGTTACAGAGACTATGAAGAGGATGTGAATGGTTACCCTAACGCTCCTACCATGTCTGTATGACTTCATCATTGTAGGTGGTCCTCGAAGCACTCCACTATAATAACCCTTTCAGACCTTACATCCTATGCAACAGTAATGTATCATATGAAACAGAAGTATTAGTATATTGAATACAGAGCTATTGCCGCTCAATTAAGAGTAGAACAGCCACTGAGAACAATCCTGTGTTGCTTGTTTTCTTTCCTTGTATAATTGCTCTTAAATGGAATCAACCCAATTTAGTACATTCAGCCCAATCGCAGTGGCTACACCTGGAGCTCAGTGCGTGGGTCTGAAATTCTACCTGGGCCCTAGGGAAAAGTCATCTTTGGAGGATCTGATGGGTTAGAATCTGGTTCCATTTCAAAGCTGCCCATACTCTTAAGAACTTGTCCAAGAATTGAAACAGGGTCAATTCTACATTTGTCTTCTGCCATGCTAAATCAAGTAAGCATTTCTAGGCAAATCCAGGAGTTTTGTTTGGTAGCAAAATAAATTCTAGCCAGAAGCTGTCATGAATCTCGTTGAAGTTCCAGGAGCGGACCTGGAAAATGTGTAGCCATTAATAGACTGCAGAGAGGATCAATTACTTTCTGGAAGCTCCCTTTGGAACTGAATATTTCATCACTGTACAATACATTGGGTCCTTGGCTTCCTATCCTGTCAGAACCCAGCTTAATTACTGGTTGTTCGAATGAGTGCTATTGAGTTGTGTTTACAACTGTGGGCCTCTGGCTCCAAGTTTGCATATTACTTCACTTATTTGATTAGCGAGCAAGTCAAAGGTTCAATACTTGGTCTGTGCTGAGCTAGCAATATTTATTAATTGATCTTCCTGCCCCGAAGAAAGTGTGAAGAACATAACTAGGGCTTATTGCTGTTGGCTCAACAGAACTCTCTCTAATAGTTCTTGCTGGGAACCAGGTGAGGATAACAATTGGATACTGATTTGCAGAAATCAAAATCATGGGTGAGGTAACCGTGGCTATGAAACCCATTCAGTTGTCTGGAAAAAGAGCAGTGCACAATCTATATGAAAAGGAAGACATGACGCAAGACAGTTGATTAGCTGTTAGGGTTGTGGTAATCTCTACTTTTACTGGCTCTGCAATGTGGATGTGAACTGGACATCTGACAAGTGACAGCATTTTCCCGCGTTAATGATCACTGTTGGTGTAATTCTACTTTCTGTCTCTCTGTTCACTATTATTTTGTCCCATGGCATTTGCAGGATTTGATGAACTTTCCATGTCAGCTCCTGAATGCGAGAGTTTCATATTCCTGAGGGGAACAACCATTTGATGAGCTGTCTTCACAAATCAAGCACTGGTCCTTCTGAGAATTCCTGAAAAAAAATGGGAAGAGTTATCTACATCTTCGATAAAGAGAACAGATTTCACTTATGGAATTTTGGTCAAGTATTAGCAGTGAATAGGGGACATAACTTGAAACTTTGACAGTGAGTGCCTCTAAGATGAAGGTGTACTCAATATTTCAACATATCACAATCTTGTCAAAAATCCAACCAGTCTTTAAATACAGTACATGCAAAAAGCAGCTGAACAGTTACTGCATCACCGTCTTTCATTAAATGTCCTTACAGTTCATCAACTGACTATCTGCAAGAGCTAGAATTACACAGGTCCCCTTAAGTTGAAGCAAACCAAACTCAAAAAGACACACAGGTCATGGCAGGAAAGTCAGCAGCCTGGATTTCATATTCTGAAACAGACCTGTAAAACCAAGCTGAACTGTACTGTTATAAGTTTCCACAGAATATAAGAAATCTAATAGCAATAAATGATATTTTCTGCACAGTAGGACAATTGCAGAATTGTTCCTCTCAATAGAAATTATTTAAAATTGTCTATAATAATAATAATCTAATCATTATAGCTCTACCAGAGGGTCAAGCAGAAGTGATTTACAGAGATTAGATGTCTCTTGTTGACTTGCACAAAGTTGGATACCTCTCAGTAAATTCCACAGAAATTGGATACTTCAGAGAGAAATGCATGAAGATTGGATACAGTACCTACAAATAATGTTGCATGTAAACTGTATTCTGCCTCTAACTTTATTTTGACTTGCTGAAGAACATTATATTGTTTATTCTGTGTAAGGTATACTTCACATTTTTAAATCAGGTTTTAATACTGTAAAACCTATGGCCCAATGTCTATAGTACTGAATACAAAGATGAGGTATATCATTGCAATTAAGTGAAGGCTACCTTGCACTCTAAAAGTCTGGAGATTTTAGTTGAACATAATTATGGGAAGGATCTTGTACATTCAACATAAAGGTCTCACTAATGATTTAGGATGCCTTCAAAAGAATTTCCAGTGGCACATCACTTTAGCATGTTTGCATTCCGCTGACACGATTTTAGCATAGCAGTAATTTAAGCTGATACTTTCTCTGAAATAGTGATCCAATGAACACTTTTGGAGTGCACTAAACACTCTGCTAATTATCTTGTGATATCTTAAGACAGCTTTGCAAGAAAGGTCAAACAGTTGAATAAAATCCTAATTTAGGAAGATCTTTGGCAGTATGTAAATCTTTTCAATAGAGCAATAAAAGAACTCTGATTCTTAATATCATAATAAAATAATGGATTACCTTTGGCTTTTGTTTTGCTCTCTTGAGGTTTCTATTTCTGTATTACTGCTTCTTATCTTAGCATCAAAGCAAATTCACTTAATCCCTTGTGCCAGCTCTGTTTCCAAATCCATTTAATTCCCTTTCTTTTAAGCACCTAATCAACTTGCTTTTAATGTTGACATTGACAGTAGAATTTCCTCAGAGATTCTCCTGATCTCCCTCTGTAACTTTGCCAGAAATTCAGAGAAATAGCATAAACAGCCACTTAAGCTGTTGCTGTGGCACATCCATTAATATTTTTGCAAGAGTTTTGGCGAGCCTTGTACATAATATACACTATGGTCTGTGCTTTAATCCTGGCACTAGTAGTGCGTTCAATAGCCTCTTGAGCTCCTGTAAAATATCGCTACTGCTCTCCATCTTAAATCTCATATTTAATCTTATGTTCCCTCACTTTGAATTCTCAATCTGGAAAAAGTTGTTTTCCATTATTTCAGTTCTATCTTTTCACGACTAAAAATATCTTCATTAAGTCATATTGAACTTTCTTCAAACTCAACTAAACTTGCATTTTTCATCACATTTGTCTCCACATTTGTATTTTCTCAGCAGGCAGGCAGTATCCTGTTAAACCCTCCTTGTCTCCTCTATTGTCTTAAAAACTTTACTAAAGTGTGGAACCAAAATCTGCTCAAAATACTTCTGCTATGATTTTACTCTGGTTTAATATACCATTGCACCTTGACTTTTGTGTTCTATATCTTGAGATAGAACACAGCGTGCTGTTGGCCTTTTTTGGCCTATATTGTTTGAGGTGGACCAAACCTGAGCCCCTAAATTTGGCCACTCTTGCTGACTGAAAGTACAGTTAATATTTTTAAAATACTTTTGCTACTGTACAGGCAGAATTTGTCTCTTGAGTTTGAACCAAGTCTCTATGGACAGCAATACCAACTCATTTAGTGCCCAAATTTACCAGCTGTCATGATATCCACCAGAACATTAACATTAGTGAAACTCAGCATCAAACTATCTTTTGGAAAACATGTCCATGGGGGTGGGGAGCATACTTGGACCAACTGTGCTCATCTGAAGTGCTAGCCATTTCCTGCAGTACACACTCCGAAACATCTGCCAACATCGATTTCCTGTAACATTATCACAACAAAGAGGTTCAGTCACTACAGGATCCAATGTGATGCACAAAAGCCAAACAGTGAGCAAACTGCAGCTGCTGAGTAATTAACACCTCCAGTACCTTGAGGCCCTCTTCCTTCTCACCGCTGGAGTTAATGCTGATCACATAGTAATACTCCACATGGGGCAGTCTGGAACAGTTCTGTCTCACCTCACACAATTCCACAGTTTGAATAAGCTCTAATCCATTCGGATTCTCCAACACAACTGTTTCAAATTTGGTGGGTACACATCCCAAGCCACCTACAGGGAGTAAACAAAACAAAGGCAATATTTTGAGGAAAGAGATTGGCTTTCTTTAATGATGATATTTCCCTAATATCTTCATTAAGGATTTACTCAGAGAACATTACATAAGCAGATGTTACTTTAGGAGGGAGCTACACAATTGCACCTCAACAGCAGGAAGCACTTGTATCTAATATAGACAGGACACTGTAATTTTGGGTACAATGATTAGAAACTTAAATGCTATGCAACTTTTGTTGTTGATTCAGCCTCGATCACCATCTGCAAGTCTTTTTAAAATTCTGCCATGAATTATATATAGCTATTTTGTTTATTTTCTCTGTAAGGTTAGGTGTCCCCATGAACCAGTAGCAACCTATTGTCCTGTCACAATTGCTCATTCTCGCTCTTCCTGCTTGTCCCTTATTTTTCTTTATTCATTCAAGGGATGAGGGCTTTGCTGGCTACACAACATTTATTGCTCATCCCTAATTGCCCAGAGGGCAGTTAAGAGTCAGCCACATTGCTGTGGGTCTAGAATCACATGTAGGCCCAGACCAGGTAAGGATGGCAGTTTCCTTTCCCCTAACACCTGAAGAAGGAATAAGACTCCAAAAGCTTGTGTTTTCAAATAAACCTGTTGGACTATAAATTGGTGTCATGTGATTTCTGACCTTCCCTAAAGGGCATTAGTAGACCAGATGGGATTTTCACTGACAAACAATGGATTCACGGTGATCATTAGACTTATAATTCCAGATATTTATTGAATTCAAATTCCACCATTTGCTGTGGTGGGATTTGAACCTGGGCCCCTGGAACATTATCTCAGTCTCTGGGTTAACAGGCCATCTTCTTAACCTATCCTGATTTCAGTTAGGATGGAGTGTAATGTCTACTGAAACTCCTCTAGAAGGTTACTGATCTTGCATTACGTAAATTAGAGTTAATGAAAATTAAATTTGGCAGCGATGGAACAGGCTATGATTAACTATCACCCATTTTACTGTATCACATGGGCAAAATCCACCACCACTTCCCCCCCACCCTTACTCCGAGAATACACATTAAGACCCATGTAAGTTACATAGCAAAGTTACATAGTGGGTCAAATTTTCCTCGATTCATGGTGGTGGACTTGGAGTTAGGATGGGTCAGCTTTGTGCACTGAGAGTGTGCCCATAATGAATTCTCCTTAGTTCACTTCGTGGCAGCTCTTCACACAGTGTCTGGTTGTTTAAAATGTGTCTAATTCCTTTCCTCACAAAACAGCACTTGGCATTAAGTTTCTTTTTATGGAAACCTCTTATGGTTACAGTTCCAGACAACAATGACCTCTCTTTCAGTGAAAGACAGTGCAATTAACACTGTTTTATAGGATAGACATCAAGAAATGGTATGTCTACTTGTTAAGGAATTCAAAGTGACAGGTCAGAAGGATCAGATATTATCCCCAATAAAGAATCCAAGATAAACATCTTATCCTGTGAATGTGGAATGGAATATGATTAGAATGTGCAGCTTGTTACCATGTGGACTAATTGAAGAAAATAGTGTGGAATCAGGCCATCAGCCCAAATTGACCCTCCGAAGGCCATCCCACCTAGACCCAGCCCACATCTCCCATGGCTAATCCACCTAGCCTACACATCCCTGGCAATTTAGCAAAGCCAATCCACCTAACCTGCACACCTTTGGACTGTGGGAGGAAATCCACACTGACACAAGGAGAATGTGTAAACTCCACACTGACAGACAGTCACCTGAGGGTAGAATTGAACTCAGGTCCCTGGTGCTGTGATGTAGCAACACTAACTGCTGAGCCACCGTGCTGCACTAGTTTAGATGTATTTCAGGGGAAGCCAAATAGTGTAAGGAAGAAAGAAGTAGAAGCGAGATGACCAGATTTCAAAAGTCAAAACTGGGACCCTTTGAAAAGCCATATGAGAAGTTGACACATCAGTTGCCAACAACAGGAGTCTGCAGAGGACATTTGAAGGTGGGAGGGGATGTGATGACATCTCCCAGAATGTTTCAGCCAGAGTTGGCAGTCCTATACTGTAGATTGTTTAAAAAGGCATCTCAGCCTGAGGATTTTGGGTAATCCAAGATAGAGGGTGGGAAAAGGATGTGGATGTAAGGGTTGCTTCTTTTTTGAGTTGTGTTCAGTGTTGGAGCTGATTTCCTAGAAATCTAGGAGCAGTAATTGCTGTTTTATAAGCTGTGGCATTGTTTTGGAACTTTGTGGAAAAAAAAGATCAGAACAACGGCACTTTTATAAGTGAGGAAGAGATGAAGGCAGTGGTAGTGACCAGATGGGAAGTGATTCAAATGGAGAAAGAAACCCACACTGCTGTCTGACCCAGCAGTGAGTCTGTGCAGCTATTGCCTCTGCTGTTTGATTTCAAGTATCTCTGGACATTGGAGTTTGTCTTCATGCAGAGGCTGGTGGATGTATGCAATGAGCTGCCAAAGGAAGTGGTAGAGGCTGGTACAATTACAACAAAATTTAAAAAGGCATCTGGATGGGTATATGTAAATAGGAAGGGTTAAGAGGCATACGGGCCAAATGCTGGCAAATGGGACTAGATTTATTTAAGACATCTGGTTGGCATGGACTGAAGGGTCAGTTTCTGTGCTGTACATCTCCAAGACTCTATGACTCAGCAATAGAGTCACTGACATGAAAACTATAGTGATACCCACCTTGGAAATGCCCAGGGGGCAGTAGAGAGAGAGCTATAAGTCCTCTGCATACAATGCAATGCGATGCAATATAATTAATTGTTTACAGGAAGAAGGATGAAATTTCCTACAGATTTTCTCTCCCAGACCCGGTTTGTATTTGACAACGAAAGGGGAGAATGTGAATCATGTACATTCAAATTATTTTTAGGATGTTATTGGGCCATCAGAACATTTAATGAAAACTTGACTTCTAGTTAGTCTAAGTAGAAGAATAAAATGTTAAATGTAGTTGTGGCAGGAAGGTCATGCCATGCATAAATGTCAGAACAAACCAGCTAAACTAAATGGCTTGTTCTGGTGCTGTAAATCCTTTGTAATTTCTGTTCCTTTGTTCTACCCAAAGACTCAGATAGTGAAGTTTATAGGAGAGAAAATAATGCCTGAGATGGAATTTTCTCTTTTTTCGTATCCATTATATCTATGTGTGAGCCAGGAAATTGAATTATAACATTCACTGCTGATTGCTAGGTAGCTACATTCAAACTGCCTCATGGAATAGCTCCAGAGGCCGGTATCCTGTCACCAAGTCACCCGTTATTTACACGTGGAAAGTCCTTGACACTAATCCCTCAGAGCCAGCTCTCAGACGTCTGACACTCCTGTTTTTATTTGTCAACCAGAGCTCCCTGATTGGGCCAGATTAACAGCCCCAATCAGGGAACTCATTCTATGAGATCCACCTGGCTGACATCGTAATCACAACATCCCTCCACCTCTGTGAGCAAGGACACAGGCCGGTCCTTTTTTTTAAGCTCCACCTGGGGTCTTAGCACCAGGTCAGGTTCTTCCAACTCTGCCTCAGATACAGGATACAGTAGTTTGCCTCTTGTGCCCAGAGTCCCTCAAAAGAAATTCATTCTCTTCTTCAGGCAGCAAAGGCATCCAGGCCGTGACATCTGCCATGTCCATCTCAAATTCCAAGCTATCTTCAATGCCTGATGGAGAGGGAGAACCCACAGTTCTAGAACACTCCGAAAGGCTGTCGAAGAGCTGGGCATGTTTTGCTCCTGCACCATTTGCGAGTTTGCAGCTTTCATGTGGTGCATGTGCTTGTTCAGAACTGTCACACCTACCCAAAATTTATATGTCACTGGACATGACTTCACATTGATCATGCCTCTTACCCATGTAGGGCTATCCCTATGGTTCCAAAACCAAACTTCTTCCCTTGAAATAAACTGCCCCTCTCACTTAATGGAGTCTTGTGTCTGGCATTGGTGTTCCTGATGCAATTTCACCCTGCCCCACCGCCAGGTCCTGGAAGATCAGATTTAACCTGGTAAGAAGTCTTCTCCCCAATAGCAACTCTGTTGGAGCTATCCTTGTAGTTCCATGAGGGTTGGTCTAACAATCAAATAGGAACCAGGACAGTTTGGCATCTAGCGAAGATGTAGGCTGTTTCTTTAAGCCTGCCTTCAATGTTTTGACTGCTCTTTCTGACATTGGATGGTGGATGGCATGGAGCTGCCCTTATGTCAAATACCATTCAACTTTAGGAAATACTCAAATTTCCTGCTGATAAACGATATCTGAGACCAACACTTCCGGGTGTCCATGTATTGAAAAAGATGTGTGCAGTTTCTCTATCATCATCCCCGTGTTTGATGAACGAACTCAATGCACGTCCAGCCACTTTGAGTGGGCGTCCACAATGACTAAGAATAATGAGTCCCTGAAAGGACTTGCATTGTAACCGAGTCCAGGGTTTGCCCTGCCATTCCCATGAATGTGGGGGAGCTGCTGGCAGTAATTTGTGTCCTTGTTGGCACTCTGGGCACTGCCCCACCAATGCAGCTATGTCTGTATCCAATCCTGGCCACCAGACATAACCTATTGCCAACATCTTCATTTTGGAAACTCCTGGATGACCCTGGAGTTCAGCTAGTATCTGGCAGCGATCTTTGCTTTGGACAATCACACTTGCTTCCACAATAATATGCCGTCCTTTATTGTGGTCTGGTCTCCCCGGGTCCAAAAAGGTTTCAATTCTGGTTGTGACAGCCCTTTGGTTTCCCCCATCACCATCAGCTGTTTCAGTTTTGCCAGGACCAGATCTATCTGCGTCCAAAGTCTGATATTGTCAGCTGTGACTGGAAGTGTGTCAAGAAAATTTAAAACCATTACTGACTCTTCCAGTGGTCGTACCAGTGGTGGTGTATCTGTCAGCGATGAGTGGCTCAATGCAACCGCATTTGCTAGTTGGCCTCCCGCATGGTGTTCCAACTTGTAACTATATGCACTTAGTATTAGAGCCCACCTCTGAATTC